AGCCAAAAGAACAAATCTGGAGGCATCACGCTACCTGACTTCAAACTATACTACAAGGCTACAGTAACCAAAACAGCATGGTACTGGTACCAAAACAGAGATATGGACCAATGGAACAGAACTGAGTCCTCAGAAATAATACCACACATCTACAGCCATCTGATCTTTGACAAAGCTGACAAAAACAAGAAATGCGGAAAGGATTCCCTATTTAATAAATGGTGCTGGGAAAACTGGCTAGCCATAAGTAAAAAGCTGAAACTGGATCCTTTCCTTACTCCTTATACGAAAATTAATTCAAGATGGATTAGAGACTTAAATGTTAGACCTAAAACCATAAAAACCCTAGAAGAAAACCTAGGTAATACCATTCAGGACATAGGCATGGGCAAGGACTTCATGTCTAAAACACCAAAAGCCACGGCAACAAAAGCCAAAATTGACAAATGGGATCTCATTAAACTAAAGAACTTCTGAACAGCAAAAGAAACTACCGTCAGAGTGAACAGGCAACCTAGAGAATGGGAGAAAATTTTTGCAATCTACTCATCTGATAAGGGCTAATATCCAGAACCTATAAAGAACTCAATCAAACTTATAAGAAAAAAACAAACAACCCCATCAAAAAGTGGGCAAAGGATATGAACAGACATTTCTCAAAAGAAGACATTCATACAGCCAACAGACACATGAAAAAAATGCTCATCATCACTCGCCATCAGAGAAATGCAAATCAAAACCACAATGAGATACCATCTTACACCAGTTAGAATGGCAATCATTAAAAAATCAGGAAATAACAGGTGCTGGAGACGATGTGGGGAAATAGGAACACTTTTACACTGTTGGTGGGACCGTAAACTAGTTCAACCATTGTGGAAAACAGTATGGCGATTCCTCAAGGATCTAGAACTAGAAATACCATTTGACCCAGCCATCCCATTACTGGGGATATACCCAAAGGATTATAAGTCATGCTGCTATAAAGACACATGCACACGTATGTTTATTGCAGCACTATTCAAAATAGCAAAGACTTGGAATCAACCCAAATGTCCATCAGTGGCAGACTGGATTAAGAAAATGTGGCACATATACACCATGGAATACTATGCAGCCATAAAAAAGGATGAATTCATGTCCTTTGTAGGGACATGGATGCAGCTGGAAACCATCATTCTCAGCAAACTACCGCAAGAACAGAAAACCAAACATCACATGTTCTCACTCATAGGTGGGAACTGAACAATGAGATCACTTGGACACAGGAAGGGGAACATCACACAACGGGGCCTATTGTGGGTAGAGGGGAGTGGGGAGGGATAGCATTAGGAAATATACCTAAGGTAAATGACAAGTTAATGGGTGCAGCACACCAACAAGGCATATGTATACATATGTAACAAACCTGCACGTTGTGCACATGTACCCTAGAACTTAAAGTATAATAATAAAAAAACAAAAAACAAAAAACAAATGCTCCCTCCCTCTACCCTCTTAACTTAATTAAGGATATCTTTTCCACAAGCTCTCCCCAAGAAGAAGTGCTCATATTCCCCTAATGCCACACTTCCCATCAAGGCCCACTTCCAGGACCACGTCGCGTCCCTTAAATCCAGCCTCCACCATCCAGACTTGGGGATCTAAAACACTAGGTTAATTATGCTATGCATTAACTGCTCGTCCTAACCATTCACAACACAGTACCCAAAACACCAGGTTAATTATGCTATGCATTAACTGCTCCTTCTAACTACCCACAACACAGTACCCAAATTCCTCAGTGCTATATCCAAAGGCTTCCATGACCTATTTGTCTCATCTCTTGTTAAACTTTGCATCACACTTTGCCTGCACCAGCTGTCTGCACCAAACTCTCCCCGTAGTTTTCCTCCATAATTTTGCTTGTGTGAGTCACTTCGCTGAAATACCTCCCCAATTTACGCTCGCTCAGTGGCTGGCTGTCACACTTCTTGGCCCATAACCCACGCTAAGACATTCACATAGCAGTCACTGAAATTTGTATGTCTACATGGCAAACAAAAGTATCATAAAAGAAAATCTGCCCTTCATATCATGCAATCTATTCTATTCTTTCTTTTTTTTTAAATACAGGTCATGACGACTAAATTGACTTCATGGCCCACTAAGAGGTAACTACCCAGTTGGAAAACATTGATCTAGCTCACTCTTACTTATCTGTTGTGATTCACTTTAGGAAGCCTCACCTGAAGGTGAGGTTAGGTGAATTTCTTCTAAGAGTCTAGTACAGCGTATCTTTATACATACCAATTATATTAAAATTACCTGTTTTATGTCTTTGTCTCCCCACTTCTCAGGGTAGAAAACCTATCTTATTCATCTTTATACCAATTTGGCTCATAATTAAACTGAATTAGGATATTCTAGCTATTAAAAAAAAGAATGACTTCACTGGAAAGTATTGGGATTTTTTAAGTTTTCTTAAAACAGTATCAGGTAGCTGTTCTGAAATTCAAGCAAATAAAGGGCAAGTTTTACGTTCATTTGAACCTACTATAAATAATGGAATGAAGAAGGTCAAGGCTTAATTTACATAGATAACTACTGATTTAAGATTCTCATGCTGGCTTTACTAAAATAAAACAATAAATTCAAAGTTAGTATGTTAACTGCATTACAAAGAGATCCAGAACTCAAAGTAATATATTCACCATTTTGATTAGCCCTATGTTATTAAACCACTCCAAAGAACTTGCCATTCAGGATTTTCAAAATAACATTTAAGACAATTGAGAAAGACATATCAAGGCATATTTATCTGTCTATATGAAAGAGCAGTCATAAAAATTATAAGAAAAGCATAATTTCACATTGGCCTAAAACAGCAGGGACTATCAACCTTAAAGATGTATTTATTCCTGTTACTGGTATCTTCAATCTTACAGAAACAGGGATGCAGTCAACATTTCAAAAGACTTTGCAAGCTACGTTCAATGAAATAATTCAGTGAAAACAACACCTAATGCAACCAAATTTAACTGCAAACTTAAGCTAAAAGTCAAGTCAAGAAATGCAGACTCTCATCATCCCCAAACTGCATTTATTTGCTCCAAATGCCACATCTGATAGAAAGCAATTGTTAATCATTCTTATTAGCAATTCAAAAGACCATACATTAATGTCAGAAAACTTTTATAATTGTCACCTCTTTTTAATGTTAACTTTTAATTAAATTTTCATGAACTTCTTCCCTTTACAGCTTTGAATTTTGACAACTGGAGGCTGGGGTGGGGTAAGGGGCAGTGAGTGGGAGCTATGAGTGGGAAGACATGGTGTAAGCATTACTACAGGAAAACAGACCATCTGTTCTAAGAGTTCCGGACTTCAAGAGAGTGATCAGTTGTTCCTATTGTGCTAAATTTTAATATGATGGCCTTCTGACATCACATAACACTGAGCACTATCACCCCCTATAGACAACAGCCAACAGACCACAGAAGTCCTTGCTCGTCTATTAATGCTGTTAGCTCAGGCAAAAATCATCCGCATTGGGAACTTCAGCCTCATCTCTAGGACAGAAAAATAATCTTTTTTTTTTGAGAGAGGGTCTCACTGTCATCCAGGCTGGAGTGTAGTGGCACCATCACAGCTCACTGCAGAGCCCTGACTCCAAGTTTAAAGAACCCCCTGCCTCAGCCTACTGAGTAGCTGGGACTACAGGTGTGCATCACCATAACTGGCTAAATTTATTATTATTATTTTTGTACAGATGGGATTTCACTATGTTGCTCAGGCTGGTCTCTAACTCCTGGGCTCAAGCAATTCTCCCACCTCAGCCTCCCAAAGTGCTGGGATTACAGGCGTGAGCTACTGCAGCCAGCTGAGAAATAATCTTATATGCCACTAGCATGTGATTGTCCTGAAGCAAAAAGAAAGATACATAAAATAACCTGACAAATTATAAAACCCTTATGACATGACAATAATACACTATTCTAGTCTCTCATATTCTTACATACTAAAAACTAATTTTACACATGGCAAAGCAGCTATTAAGATTTGAAAATTGGTACAGGATTTAAACTCCAAGTATCACTATACAGCAGCCATCACAAAGGCTGTGTGTTTTTGTACATTTTGTTTTTATACAGAACATTACATTTTACCAGGGCACCCAAGTCTTTGACATTCTAACTTGTTAATCGTTGCACTAAAAGATTCCATTCTTGACACTTCTCCAGTAGCCTAGAAAAAGTCAACTTTAGAATATATCCATGTTCTCATTTGCTAGTCCTTCAAGGACAGGACTCTGAAAGCAACCACCACCTCTACCTTACCATACCATTTAGGCTCTAACTTCCTTAGGACCTTATTTCTCAGGGTGGAGAAAATCCAGTTCTCAATGTCAGGTTGAGAAAGTCAAACACACTTGTTAAAATGATGTTCAAGAAACTAGAGTAATCAGTATCTAGAACCTTATTTCCAAAAAATGCAGAATGACCTGAGTTAGGCCATCAAGAGTTAATTACTACTTCTTCTTCCAAGAGGCCTCTTGCAATTGAAGTTGAAAAATTGGGGGCTGTGAAGGGCATACACAGAAAGAAAAAAGCTTCAACTCAACCCAAAATCAGAGCTTCAAAATCTGCACTATTCAAACAGTAGCCACTTGTACTTACTGAGCACTTAAAATGTGGTGAGTCTGAATTCAGATGTGCTGTATTAAATGCATGCCAGATTTCAAAGACTTCCAAATAAGAATATGAAATATCTCATTAATAATTTTTTTTTTTTTTTTTTTTTGAGACATGGTCTGTGTCGCCCAGGCTGGAGTGGAGTGGCACAATCTCGGCTTACTGCAACCCCCACCTCCCAGGCTTCAGTGATCCTCCCACCTCAGCCTCCCAAGTAGCAGGGACTACAGACACATACCACTATGCTTGCCTATTTTTAGTAGAGATGGGGTTTCACTGTGTTGCCCAGGCCGGTCTCAAACTCCTGGGCTCAACTGATCCACCTGCCTCAGCCACTCAAAAGTGCTAGGATTACAGGTGGGAGCCACTGTGCCCGGTCTCATTAACAATTTTTATACAAAATTCATACTGATAGTATCTTATATATATTGGATTAAATTAGATGTACTAAAAATAATTATTAAAATTTATTTTACCATTCCTATCTTTTTAATGTGGTTAGTAGAAAAGTTTATATTACATATGGGCTTATAAATTTCTATTGGACAGTGAATTTTTAGCAATTTTCACTCTCTCCAATTAAAAAAGATAGTGAAGCATCGGTATAACCAAACCTGCATTTAAGCCCTCTACTTAAAAGTCTGCCTAAAAGAACCTAAAAGAATCAACATATTCTGGGCCATTTATCTCTGGCACGTACCTAAAAAGCCATCGTCTAATTTCAAGAACAGGAAAGTAGCTTTGAGAATAAGCTAATACAAGGTGAGTCATGTTAAAGTAATGGTTCGTCTATCTTCTTGCATCAGAATTAACTTGTGGAGCTTTTACTAAAAACATAGATGCTCATCCCACCCAGAGATTCTAATTCAGTAGGCTGCAGGTAGAACCCCAGCATGTGTTTTAAAGCTCCCCAGGTGAATCTAATAGATAGCCAGTGCTGTTTAGGTCATATTTCTACATATACTACTAAATATATTTATGAAGGTGCTACTAAAATTCCCACAGGCTTTGCAATGCTACTGTGTGGCTGCTTTATAGCAACATCAGTAGATGACATTAAGAACCAATACTAATAAAACTGTGGCAACAGCAAGAAACTACTGGAGTCAGGCGCTTAGCTAAAGCCATTTCCTATGCTCCTTCCAGACAGGTTTTGCAACATGCACAATGGAGGTAACTCCTATTTCCTTCTTCCTTCAGTTCTCATGAAAGCACTTATACCTAGGAAGGAAACAGATCTTGGTGGTTACAAGCTGGGCTCTGAAATCAGACTGCGTAAGTTTGAAACCCAGCTCTCTAGTTAGCAGTTACAGAAACACAGGCAAAGCACTTCACATGCCTAAGAATCTGTTTTCCACATAACAAGTCAAAATGTACGTACTCATTAAGTCAGTAGGACCAGTCCTGTAATGTATGGAAAGTACTTAGCACAGCATACAGAAAAGCCATGCTTTTTATTGCAGTCAACTTCTTGCCTTTTCCAGTGATTTAGCTATATTTTTGGATCACCCATATGTAAGCTTTTTTTTTCTTTTATTTTTTTTTTTTTTTTTTTTTTTTTTGAGATAGGGTCTCACTCTGTTGCCCAAGCTAGAGTGGCATGATCATAGCTCACTGCAGCCTCAAACTCCTGGGCTCAAACAATCCTCCTACCTTGGCCTCCCCAAGAGATTACAGGCTGGGTACACCCAGCCAAGCCTTTCTTCCAACAATGAAAACATACAGACTGGGCACCGTGGCTCACACCTATAATCCTAGCATTTTGGGAAGCCAAGGATTGAGCCCAGGAGTTTGAGACCAGCCTGGGCAACACACAGAGACCCTCTACTTATTTTTTTTTTTCTTAAAAAATAATTAAAACAACAAAGAAAATATCCAAATGTAGGCTTAAAAAGTTAACCCTCTACTTCTCCATTTATACAGGTTTCCAGATCAAGAAAAGGTATCCTAATCTCTCACCTGTCAGATTCTTCAATCCTTCTGTGAAAAGTGACTGGAATTCGGGAGACTGCAACTTCATTGTAAATAGATACTGCTTCAGAAGGCACAGCCTATTCCACCTACAGCTCAGTACTGGCCTGTGCCAATGATACAGGCACCTCAGCATCTGGAGAGGTGGTCACCAACTACACGTCTACAAGGCAAACACACAGGCATACCAATGAAATTAAAAGTGAAGGAAAGTGAAGGAAAATAAAGGGACACATTGCAAGTTTATCAACTTCAGAAATTCATCTCTTGTTCAGATGAAAAAACTGAAAAAGGTGTCAATTTGAGGGATTAAGACTAGATCTATGTATCTACCTGGTTTTGTTCTCCAGAAGCACTTACTGTGGCAGGCGGGGTCTAACTAACGCAGGCCTCCGTAATAACTGTTTCAGTACTGAGTGGTTGAAAAAGCTAGCCAGTGCCCTTAAACAAGGGTGGAATGTAACAAAGCAAGAGTTTTGCCTAAGACTTTCCCGGACCTTGAAGCATGATAAAATAACAAAGGAATTCTTTTTTTTTTTTTTTTTTTGAGATGGAGTCTCCTCTGCCGCCCAGCCTGGAGTGCAATGGCACGATCTCTGCTCACTGCAACCTCCGCCTCCTGGGTTCAAGCGATTCTCCTGCCTCAGCCTCACGAGTAGCCAGGATTACAGGCGCACGCCACCACATCCGGCTAATTTTTTACACTTCCGGGTACAGACAGGGTTTCACCATTTGGCCAGACTGCCCTCGAACTCCTGACCTCAAGTGATGTGCCCGCCTGGGCCTTCCAAAGTGCTGGGATTACAGGCGGGAGCCATCGCGCCCAGCCACAAAGGAATTCTTAACAAGACCCGTTTAGAATTAAACAAGTTTTACTGGGGATCCGAGGAAACTCCCCAGGCCTCCACAAACAAGTTTACTAGCGGTCTGAGGGAACTCCCCAAACCTCCATGATTTAGCAGTAGAGAATATAAGGGTAATCACCCCAGCACCTGGACCCATTTAGATTAAGTAAATTTACTAAGGCTCTCGAGGAAGGTCTTCAGGATGCAGATCTTATAGATAATTCGTTAATCACTTATGTCTTTAGATGAATGCAACACTTACACATACACATATAGCTTAGAAGGTATATAAGCTCTGGAAAACTTCGTTATTCTGAGTTGGTCTGGGATATTTTCCAGGCCTTCTCCCTGTACCCGGTTACATAAATAAACTCCCTTCTTTCCTAGTTTATCTGCATCTGGTTATTGGGAGGCGAGAATAAGCAGCCTAACCCTCGGTTTGGCGGTTTGGTCGGGGAGTATTACCGCTACACTCGCATGCCACATGGTACTGTGATGGCACTCTCCCCAGAGCAGGGCTTCAGTCAGTATGTGAAGGGTGCGGGATTCTAGAAACGCTATCCGAGTTTCTGGACTCCAGAACTTGTCATGGTCACAGGTGTCACATAAGCCCTCCGGTCCTATGAAATTACTCGGCACAAATATCACCCTACTTCCCCACCTGCACTCGAGAATTCATGACCCTGGGATAGCGCCTAGGAATTGTATTTTCCCATGAATTAATTAGTTTTGCTGCCATTTTCCTCATTATTTTCCTGTCATCTTGCAATCTCCTCTGATTTCCAGCACACCCTGCCTTCCCTTCTACATATCACATCCTCGTTCCCCCCATACAGGGGTTCTGCCCATAAGGAGGCAGCAGCAGCTCTTCAGTGGCCCCGGTGTAAACCTGCAGAGAAAAACCATTCCATTCCACGGAAGCCGGCTGGAGGAGCTGCGCTTCCCAGCAGGCCACGTGGGACCCACTTAGTTTCCGTGCACCTCCGCCTCAACTCAGGAAAACGCTCTGGGGACCCCCGCCCTGAAAAGGCGCGTCCCGCCCCCCAGGCCGGGTGCTGGCGACAAGGCCCAGTGAAAAAGCGTCTCGGGGCAGTCCGCGCGGAGGGGAAAGTGCTGAGGGAAGCCAAGGAATCCGCGCCTGCAGTCGCCAGAAACGTGGCGGGGACACGACCTCCTCGTCGGAGCTCTTATGCCCAGTGCTGAGGAGGCCTCTGGCCACTTCCCACTCCCGCCTTCCTCGAGGACTCAGGGCGGCGGCTCCCCTGGCCCACAGCAGGAAGGAAGGGGCGGCAACCCACGCCACCAACTCTGCCCCTCTGAGTGGCGCGAGCCCGCTTACCGGCCCCGCTGCCGCCGTCGCCGTCGCCGCCACGCGCACTTCCGGGACGGTGAACGCGATGACGTCGTCAACGCACATCGGCTGGCGGTAAATGGGAAGTCGCGGCAGGGCGAGGGCGGAGGCGGGGCCCGGACCGAAGGGCTTCCGGCTTCCCTCGCCCCTCCCCACGGTGAGGCTAAACTCTTGAGCCGGTTTCCCCGCCCCGCCGAGGCCCATCTGGGTGAAGCGGAGCCTCGGGGGACCCTGAGGAAACCGAAGCGCGTACGCTTAATTGCGCGCCTCTTACTGCACCTCTGGCTGGCCCTGAGCTGCTCAGAGGCCCATCTGCGCGGTATGCCTGTGCGATCGGGGACAACTGGCAGCTGTCTTCCTTTTCAAAATGAGACTGTTAATAAAACCTACCCCAGGGTAGGACGGATTGTTCGGTAAATGTTATTTTATTCTTGTTTAACTATTCTGTACTCTAATCTCTGCATAGGGTTAAGTCCACAGTTGACAGAGTCACACGCATTCGAAATCTAAGCCCTCCGGTCCTATGAAATTACTCGGCATATTTTATTTTCTTACCTGGTTTGTGTAACCACTGGCCGCCTTGGCCTGGAGGCTTCCCAGCTGTAAAGTGGAGAACTTAGATTTGAGTCAGTTCATTAATTTTTTCTAGAGCGGAGAAGAGCAAAGAGAGTGGCAAAGGAGTAGTACAGCCCTTGAGCCCTTAAAGTGCGAAAATGTGTAGTTTTTGTTTGTTTGTTTATGAGAGGGAGTTTCGCTCTTATTGCCCAGGGTGGAGTGCAGTGGCATGATCTGGGCTCACTGCAACCTCTGGCTTCCAGTTTCAAGCTATTCTCCTGCCTCAGCCTCCCGAGTAGCTGGAATTACAGGTGTCTGTCACCACACCCAGCTAATTTTTAGTAGAGACGGGGTTTCACCATGTTGGCCAAGCTGGTCCCGAACTCCTGACCTCGTGTTCCACAGGCCTTGGCCTCCCAAAGTGCTGAGATTACAGGTGTGAGCCACTGTGCCCGGCTGAAAATGTGTAGTCTTTTAAGTGTAACTTTACATCACTTAGCTTTCCCTAAAATTTTCCTAGAAAAATGTATGTGCATGCTGTTTCTGTTCTTTTGCCCACCCCACATGCCTACTTGTTCTTCCTAAACTCTTCAGCCCCACTCTCCGTAGACTCCCTAAAATGTAAAAACATTTTACTAAAAAGTAAAATGTTCAATTACCACACCTCTTCAAGGTGTTAAATATCCTGTTTCTGGAAGCACAGGACTGGCTTTCCAAATTGACATTCAGATGCACAGCATTGATATAATCCGGTGCCTTAACAGAACAAGGAAAGCCCCAAATCATCCTTTCAGGCTTGTCTCCTGTTTCTCACCACCATGACTCTAGACAAACTGGACCAAACTCTCCGTTGCTGTACCCACCTAGAATAGATTCTCCAAATCACCACCAATGAAGGCAACACTAATATAACTATTATAACTTACTTCGTACCACTTACTGTGCTGGGCACCCTCAACAATTTCTGGCCTTGTAAATCTATAGTTTATATATACATGTGTATATACAGTTGTCCTTCGTATCCATGGGGTATTGGTTCCAGAACATCACCCCAACCAGTGTTCAAGTTCTTTATATAAAATGGCATAGTATTTGCATATAGCCTATACACATTCTGCAATGTCAGGCCTCTGAGCCAAAGCTAAGCCATCATATCCCCTGTGACCTGCATGTACACATCCAGATGGCTGGTTCCTACCTTAACGGATGACACTCCACCACAAAAGAAGTGAAAATGGCCCGTTCCTGCCTTAACTGATGACATTACCATGTGAAATTCCTTTTCCTGGCTCATCCTGGCTCAAAAGCTCCCCCACTGAGCACCTTGTCACCCCCCACCCCTGCCTGCCAGAGAACAACCCTCTTTGACTGTAATTTTCCTTTACCTACCCAAATCCTATAAAACGACCCCAACCCTATCTCCCTTCGCTGACTCTCTTTTCGGACTCAGCCCGCCTGCACCCAGGTGATTAAAAAGCTTTATTGCTTACACAAAGCCTGTTTGGTGGTCCCTTCATATGGACGTGCATGACATTTTGGTGCTGTGACTCAGAGTGGAGGACCTCCCTTGGGAGATCAATCCCCTGTCCTCCTGCTCTTTGCTCCGTGAGAAAGATCCACCTTGGGTCCTCAGACCGACCAGCCCAAGGAACATCTCACCAATTTTAAATCCGGTAAGCGGCCTCTTTTTGCTCTCTTCTCTGACCTCTCTCACTATCCCTCAACCTCTTTCTCCTTTCAATCTTGGCGCCATACTTCAATCTCTCCCTTCTCTTAACTTCAGTTCCTTTCCTTTTCTAGTAGAGACGAGACACTTTTTTATCCATGGACCCAAAACTCCGGCGCCAGTCACGGACTCTGGAAGACAGTCTTCCCTTGGTGTTTAAATCACACGGGGATGCCTGCCCGATTATTCACCTACATTTCAGAGGTGTTTGACCATGTAGGGATGCCTGCCTTGGTCCTTCACCCTTAGTGGCAAGTGCAACTTTTCTGGGGGGCAAGAACCCCCCCCAACCCCTTCTCTCCCTGTCTCTACCCATCCTCTGCGTTTCTGGGAGGCAAGAACCTCCCGACCCCTTTCCCACTTTTCTGAAGGGCGAGAACCCCCTGACCCCTTATGTCCATGTCTCGACCCCTTTCCCGCTCTTATGGAGGGCAAGAACCTCCTGACCCCTTCTCTCCATGTCTTGACCCCTTTCCCACTTTTCTGGAGGGCAAGAACCCCCCCCCCAACCCCTTCTCTCCGTGTCTCTACTCTCTCTTTTCTCTAGGCTTGCCTCCTTCACCTTCCACCCTCCATTCCTCCTTCTTCTCCCTTAGCCTGTGTTCTCAAGAACTTAAAACCTCTTCAACTCACACCTGACCTAAAACCTAAATGCCTTTTTTTCTTCTACAGTGCGGCTTGACCCCAATACAAACTCAACGGTAATTTCAAATAGCCAGAAAACGGCACTTTCGATTTTTCCATCCTATAAGATCTAAATAATTCTTGTCATAAAATGGGCAAACAGTCTGAGGTGCCTGATGTCCAGGCATTCTTTTACACATCAGTCCCTCCTTAGTCTCTGTTACCAATGCAGATCGTTCCAAATCTTCCTTCTTTCCCTCCCGCTTGTCCCCTCAGTCCCAACCCCAAGTGTCGCTGAGTCTTTCTAATCTTCCTTTTCTACAGACCCATCTGACCTCTCCTGTCCTCGCCAGGCTGAGCTAGGTCCCAATATTTCATCAGCCTCTGCTCCCCTACCCTATAATCCTTTTATCACCTCCCATCCTCACACCCTGTCTAGCTTACAGTTTCGTTCCTCGACTAGCCCTCCCCCACCTGCCCAGCAATTTCCTCTTAAAAAGGTGACTAGAGCTAAAGACATAGTCAAGGTTAATGCTCCTTTTTCTTTATCCGACCTCTCCCAAATCAGTTAGCGTTTAGGCTCTTTTTCATCAAATATGAAAAACCCAGCCCAGTTCATGACTCGTTTAGCAGCAACCTTCAACCCTGAGACACTTTACAGCCCTAGACCCTAAAAGGCCAAAAGGCCGTCTTATTCTCAGTATATATTTTATTACCCAATCTGCTCCCGACATTAAATAAAACCCAAAAAATTAAACTCCCGCCTTCAAACCCCACAACAGGACTTAATTAACCTCGCCTTCAAGGTGTACAATAATAAAGTAGAGGCAGCCAAGTAGCAATGTATATCTGAGTTGCAATTCCTTGCTTCCACTGTGAGAGAAACCCCAGTCACATCTCCAGCACACAAGAACTCCAAACGCCTGAGCTGCAGCTGCCAGAGATTCCTCCAGAACATCCTCCCCCAGGAGCTTGCTTCAAGTGCCAGAAATCTGGCCACTAGGCCAAGGAATGTCCTCAGTCCAGGATTCCTCCTAAACCATGTCCCATCTGTGCAAGACCCCACTGAAAATAGGACTGTTCAACTCACCTGGCAGCCACTTCCAGAGCCCCTGGAACTCTAGCCCAAGGCTCTCTTGACTCCTTCCCAGATCTTCTCGACTTAGCAGCTGAAGACTGACACTGCCCGATCACCTCGGAAGCCTACAGGACCATCCCAGACACTCTAGGTGACTGTCACAGTGGAAGGTATATCTGTACCCTTCTTAATCAATACCGAGGCTACCCACTTCACATTACCTTCTTTTCAAAGGCCTGTTTCCCTTGCCTCCATAACTGTTGTGGGTATTGACAGCCAAGTTTCTAAACCTCTTATAACTCCCCAACTCTGGTGCCAACTTGGACAACATTCTTTAATGCACTCTTTTTAGTTATCCCCACCTGCCCGGTTCCCTTATTAGGCCAAGACATTTTAACTAAATTATCTGCTTTCCTGACTATTCCTAGGTTACAGCCACACCTCATTGCCGCCTTTTCCCCCAGTTCAAAGCCTCCTTCGCATCCTCCCTTGTGTCTTCCCACCTTAACCCACAAGTATCGGATACCTCTACTTCCTCCTTAGAGACCAATCATGCACCCCTTACCATCTCATTAAAACTTAATCACCCTTACCCCACTCAACGCCAATATCGCATCCCACAGCATGCTTTAAAAGGATTAAAGCCTGTTATCACTCACCTGTTAGAGCATGGCTTTTTAAAGCCTGTAAACTCCCCTTACAATTCCCCCATTTTACCTGTCCTAAAACCAGACAAGGCTTACAGGTTAGTTCAGGATCTGCGCCTTATCAATCAAATTGTTTTGCCTATCCACCCCATGGTGCCAAACCCATATACTCTCCTATACTCAATACCTTCCTCCACAACCCATTATTCATTATTCTGTTCTAGATCTCAAACATAACTTTCTTTACTATTCCTTTGCACCACTCATCCCAGCCTCTCTTCACTTTCACTTGGACTGACCCTGACACCCATCAGGCTCAGCAAATTACCTGGGCTGTACTGCCGCAAGGATTTACAGACAGCCCCCATTACTTCAGTCAAGCCCAAATTTCTTCCTCATCTGTCACCTATCTCGGCATAATTCTCATAAAAACACATGTGCTTTCCCTGCTGATCGTGTCCAGCGAATCTCCCTAACCCCAATCCCTTCTATAAAACAACTCCTTTCCTTCCTAGGCATAGTTAGTAAGGTCAGAATTCTTACACAAGAGCCAGGACCACATCCTGTAGCCTTTCTGTCCAAACAACTTGAACTTACTGTTTTAGCCTAGCCCTCATATCTGTGGGCAGCGGCTGCCGCTGCCTTAATACTTTTAGAGGCCTAAAAATCACAAACTATGCTCAACTCACTCTCTACAGTTCTCATAACTTCCAAAATCTATTTTCTTCCTCCCATGTGATGCATATACTTTCTGCTCCCTGACTCCTTCAGCTATACTCACTCTTTGTTGAGTCTCAAACAATTACCCTTGTTCCTGGCCCGGACTTCAGTCCGGCCTCTCACATTATTCCAGATACCACACCTGACCCTTATGACTACCTCTCTCTGATAGTATCTTCCTCATCTATCATTGAGGCTACTGCTCTGCCACCCTCCACTACCTCTCAGCAAGCCCTAGTTGCCTTAACTCAGGCTCTCACTCTTGCAAAAGGACCACGCATCAGTATTTATACTGACTAAATATGCCTTCCATATTCTGCACCACCATGCTGTTATATAGGCTGAAAGAGATTTCCACACTATGCAAAGGTCCTCCATCATTAATGCCTCTTTAATAAAGACGCTTCTCAAAGCCGCTTTACTCCCAAAGGAAGCTAGAGTCATTCACTGCAAGGGCCATCAAAAGGCATCAGATCCCATCGCTCAGGAAAATGCTTATGCTGATAAGTTAGCTAAAAAAGCAGCTAGAATTCCAACTTCTGTCCCTCACAGTCAGTTTTTATCTTTCACATTAGTCACCCCCACCTACTCCCCTGCTGAAACTTCCACCTATCAATCTCTTCCCACACAAGGCAAATGGTTCTTAGACCAAGGAAAATATCTCCTTCCCCCTCACAGGCCCATTCTACTCTGTCGTCATTTCGTAACCTCCTGCATGTAGGTTACAAGCCGCTAGCCCGTCTCTTAGAACCTCTCATTTCCTTTCCATCATGGAAATCTATCCTCAAGGAAATCACTTCTCAGTGTTCCACCTGCTATTCTACTACTCCTCAAGAATATCCCAAGCCCCTTCCCTTCCCTACACATCAAGCTCAAGGTTTCCCCCCCCCCGCCCAGGACTGGCAAATTGACTTTACTCACATGCCTCCAGTCAGGAAACTAAAATACTCTTGGTCTAGGTTGACACTTTCACTGGATAGGTAGAGGCCTTTCCCACAGGGTCTGAGAAGGCCACTGCAGTCATTTCTTCCCTTCTGTCAGACATAATTCCTCAGTTTGGCCTTCCCACCTCTATATAGTCCAATAGCAGACCGGCCTTTATTAGTCAAATCACCCAAGCAGTTTTTCAGGCTCTTGGTATTCAGTGAAACCTTTATATCCTTTACCATCCTCAATCTTCAGGAAAAGTAGAATGGACTAATGGTCTTTTAAAAACACACCTCACCAAGCTCAGTCACCAACTTAAAAAGGACTGGACAATACTTTTACCACTTTCCCTTCTCAGAATTCAAGCCTGTCCTCAGAACACTATAGGTTCCAGCCCATTTGAGCTCCTGTGTGGACACTCCTCTTTATTAGGTCCCAGTCTCATTCCAGACACCAGCCCAACTTGAACTGCACCCCAAAAACTTGGATAGAGCCTAAAAAGTCACCAACCAAGCAAGTAATTACACTGAACCCCCTTAGACTCCCTCTAATTGGATGTCCTAGGTCCTCCCAATTCTTAGTCCTTTAATACCTGTTTTTTCTCCTCTTATTCGTACCTTGTGTCTTCCATTTAGTTTTTCAATTTAGACAAAACCACATCCAGGCCATCACCAATCATTCTATATGACAAATGCTCCTTCTAACAACCCCACAGTATCGTCTCTTACCACAAAATCTTCCTTCAGCTTAATCTCTCCCACTCTAGGTTCCCACGCCGCCCCTAATCCCTCTTGAAGCAGCCCTGAGAAACATTGCCCATTATCTCTCCATACCACCCCCCAAAAATTTTCACCGCCCCAACACTATTTTAATTTTTCTTATTAATATAAGAAGATAAGAATGTCAAGCCTCTGAGGCAAAGCTAAGCCATCATATCCCTGTGACCTGCACGTACACACCCAGATGGCTGGTTCCTGCCTTAACTGACCATATTCTACCACAGAAGAAGTGAAAATGGCCTGTTCCTGCCTTCACTGATGACATTACTTTGTGAAATTCCTTTTCCTGGCTCATCCTGGCTCAAAAGCTCCCCCACTGAGCACCTTGTGACCCCCCACTCCTGCCCGCCAGAGAACAACCCCCTTTGACCGTAATTTTCCTTTACCTACCCAAATCCTATAAAATGGCCCCACCCCATCTCCCTTCGCTGACTGTCTTTTCGGATTCAGCCCGCCTGCACCCAGGTGATTAAAAAGCTTTATTGCTCACACAAAGCCTGTTTCGTGGTCTCTTCACACGGATGCGCATGACATGTAGTATACTTTAAATCATTTCTAGATTACTTATAATACCTGAAATAATATAAATGCTGTGTAAACAGTTGTTATGCTATATTGCTTTTTTGTATTTTTTAATTGCTATTTAATTTTTTTTTTTTTTTTTTTTGAGATGGAGTTTCACTCTGTCACCCAGGCTGGAGTGCAGTGACACGATCTCAGCTCACTGAAACCTCCGCCTTCCACTTTCAAGTGATTCTTCTACCTCACCCTCCCAAGTAGCTGGGATTACAGGTGCCCGCCACCACACCCGGCTAAGTTTTGTGTTTTTAGTAGAGACAGGGTTGTACCACGTTGGTCAGGCTGGTCTTGAACTGCTGACCTCAGGTGACCCACCCACCTCAGCCTCCCAAAGTGCTGGGATTACAGATGTGAGCCACTGTGCCCAGCCTTACTTAATATTTTGACCTATGGCTGGTTGAATCCACCGATGGAGAACCCCCATGGCTATGGAAGGCCAACTGGAGAAAGAGAGAGAGAGAGAGAGAGAGAGAGAGGAGAAAGAGACAAAGTAAGAGAATTCCTACTGTACTGGCCAAGAAAATGAAATGAAAACAGGGATATTACTACAGATCATATAGACATTAGTAGGAGATATTATAAACAATTTTATGCCAATTAATTTGACAATGTAGATGCAATGCACCAATTCTATAAAAAAGACAATTTATCAGAGCTGAAATAGGGTAGAATTTAAAAATCTGAATAGCTCTTCATGTTTAAAGAAATTGAATGTTGTTCAACAGACTTCCCACAAAGAGAATTCCAGGCCCAGATGGTTTCAGTAGTCAAATTTATCAAACATATAAGGAAGAAAGAACTCCAGTCTTGTGCAAAGTTTGTTTAGAAAATGGAGGAGGAAACAGTTTTCCTCTCCTTTTGAGGCCAGCATAACCCAAATAAAATAAAATCAGTATTACAAAAAAAAAAAAAATTAATGTACAGCTTAATAGACCACATGACCATAGAAACAAAAAAGCTTTAATAAAATGTCAGCAAATTGAATCCAACAGTGTATAGAAAAATAATACATCATGATCAATTTGGGTTTATCCCAAATGCAAGGAATACAAGGTGGATTTAATGATCTAAAACCAATCAATGTAATTCACCATATTAACTGAAAAAGAAAAACTGTCATCATCACAATAAATGTAGAAAGACCACTTAAAATTCAATCCCTACTCAAAAATTGCCAAAAAAAAATAAGATTAGAAGGGACTTCCTTAATATGGTAAAGGGCATTCATGAAAAATCCATAGCCAATATCAGACTTAATGGTAATATATTGAACACTCGCCCCCTCATATCAGGAACAAGGCAAGGATGCCCCTATCTTACCACTTCTTAACATTTATCTATCACCATTAACAAAGCAAGAAAAAGATATGGAAAGTGTAACAATTCAGAAGGAAGTAAAATTGTCCCTATTTTAAGATGACATGATGGTGATTTTACACAGAAATCATAGGAACTGACAAAACTACTAGAACTAACAAGTAAATTTAGGAAGGTCTCAGGATACCAGGTTAATATACATAAATCATTTCTATTTTTATATACTATCAGCAAAAATATAGTATGTAAAATATATATCACATATGAAGAAATAAGTATAATAAGAGAAGCTATATGGTTAACAACCAAACATATGTAAAGACACTCAACATCATCAATCACTAAGAGGCCAGATATGGTGGCCCTTGCCTGTAATCCCAACACTTTGGGAAGTGAAGGTGGGAGGATTGCTTGAGCCCAGGAGTTTGAGAGCAGCCTGGGCAATATAATGAGACCTTTTCTCTATAATTTTTTTTTTTTTAATAGCCAGGGTTGGTGGTGTGTACCTGTATTCCCAGTTACTCAGGAGGCTGAAGTGGGAGAAACACTTCAAACCCAGGAGGTCCAGGCTGCATTGAGCTGTGATTACACCACTGCATTCCAGCCTGGACAACAGAGTGAGACCTTGTCTAAAATAATAATATAATATAATATATAAAATCACTAGGGGAATACAAATTATACAACAATGAGATACCTTTTGGTTTTTTTAAGATGGAGTCTCACTCTTTTTCCTAGGCTGGAGTGCAATGGCATGGTTTCGGCTCACTGCAACCTATGCCTGCCGGGTTCAAGCAGTCTCCTGCCTCAGCCTTCTGAGTAGTTGGGATTACAGGCATGTGGCACCACACATGGCTAATTTTTGTATTTTTAGTAGAGACAGGGTTTCACTATGTTGGCCAGGCTGGTTTAGAACTCCTGACCTTGTGATCTGCCGCCTCAGCCTCCCAAAGTGTTGGGATTACAGGCATGAGCCACCATGCCTGGCCAACAATGAGATACCTTTACATACCCATTAGAATGTCTAAAATTGAAAAACCTGGAAATAGCAAGTGCTGATGAGGATGAAGAGCAACTGCAACTCTCATACACCGTGGGTGGGATGGCCCAGTCACTTTGGTAAACAGTTTACTGGTATCTGATAAGACTAGCTATACATATACCTTATGGCCCAGCAATCCACTCCTAGATATTTACCTGAGAGAAATAAAAACTTATGGTCACACTAAAATGTATTGAGTGGTATAGTCACAAATTATTCCAAACTGGAAATAACTCAGATTTCTTCCAGCAGATGAATGGGTACGCAACCTGGAGCATATCCGTACAATGGAATACTACTGAACAATATGAAAGAGCAAACTTCTGATACACACAGCAACACATCTGAGTCTCAAGTGAAGAAAGCCACTTTCAAGAGGCTGCATATAACAGACTCCATTCATAAGACACCCAGAAAAGGCAAAACTATAGGTCGGGCGCAGTGGCTCATGCCTGTAATCCCAGCACTTTGGGAGGCCAAGGTGGGTGGATCACGAGGCCAGGAGTTCAAGACCAGCCTGGCCAACATGGTGAAACCCCATCTCCACAAAAAAAATACAAAAATTAGCTGGGCTTGGTAGCGGGTGTCTGTAATCCCAGCTACTCGGGAGGCTGAGGCAGAAGAAGCGATTGAACCAGGGAGGCAGGGGTTGCTGTGAGCTGAGATCTCACCATTGCACTCCAGCCTGGGCGACAGGGCGAGACTCCATCTCCAAAAAAGAAAAAAAGAAAAGAAAAAGGGAAAACTGCAGAGACAAAAAACAGATCAGTTCTTGCCAGGGGGCTCAAGATGGGAGGAGGTATTTACTACAAAAGCGCATGAGAATAGTGAGGGGAGAGAAAGATGATAGAATTGTTCTATGTTTTGATTATAGTGGTGATTAAATAACTCTGTATGTGCCATAATGCATAGAACAGTATTGTATTAGTCCATTCTCACACTGCTATAAAGAAATACTTGAGACTGGGTAATTCATAAAGAAAAGAGGTTTAATTGGCTCATGGTTCGGTAGGCTGTACAGGAAGCATGGCTGGGGACGCCTCCAGAAACCTGCAGTCATGGTGGAAGGTGAAGGGGAAGTAGGCTCCTCTTACATGGCCAGAGCAGGAAAAGCGGTGGTGGGGAGGTACTACATACTTGTAAATTGCCAGATCTCATTGCAACTCACTATCAGGACATGGCCAGAGCAGGAAAAAGGGGTGGTGGGGAGGTACTACGCACTTGTAAATTGCCAGATCTCACTGCAACTCACTATCAGGAGAACAGCACTAAAGGGGAAATCCACCCCCATGACCCAGTCACTTCCCACCAGGCCCCACCTCCAATATTAGAGATTACAATTTGATGAGAGATTTGAATGGGGACAAAGACCCAAACCATACCAACTACATTTAAAAGGTAAACTTTCCTGCTTCAACCTCCCCCCAAAAGTAATTACATTTTTATATATTAGCAAAAAAAATTAAGAACATGAAACTTAATTCAATTATTGAAGCATGTACCTATGAAAGCAGGACAGAACTTTGAGGCCATTAAACTAAAGGGGGAAAGAACTCTGGACAGAATGCCCAGTTCAACCCCTTAGGACATGGTGAAGACAACCAAAGCAATCTCAAACTCCTCTCTCCCACACAAGACATTTTCTATTATCTCTTAATATACACCCATCCTAAAGGAAATAAAACTTTATCTGCAAAGGAACTGACGTTTACTGCACAGAAATCCTACTGGAAATATTCTCTTTCTGTAGGACATACCCAAAAGTAAATACCATAGACATGGAGTACTGTTAGCATCTGGCAAGTTCACACCTTTCTAGGGAAACACCACAGTCATGAATATTATTCTTCAGTTAGAAGGCTACACATTATTAAATAAATTCAGGAGGCCACGAGTGGTGGCTCACACCTGTAATCCCAGCAATTTGGGAGGCTGAGACATGCAGATCACTTGAGGCCAGGAGTTCAAGACCAGCCTGGCCAACTTGGTGAAACTCTGTTTCTACTAAAAAAAAGAATAATAATACAAAAACTATCTGGGCATGATGGCACATGCCTGAAATCCCAGCTACTCGGGAGGCTGAAGCAAGAGAATCGCTCAAACATGGGAGGCGGAGGTTGCAGTGAGCCGATATCCCACCACTGCACTCCAGCCTGGGCGATAGAGCGAGACTCTGTCTCAGAAAAAAAAAAAAAAAAATCAGAAAAGGTAAAAACAGCTTAGAAATATATATATCAATATTTCTTAGATACACCAATGTTAGGTCTGAATGCTAGTTTGAGTGTCCTTCAGTGCTTACTAGAGGCACCCTCAAGAGTTTAGCAATTGCCTCAAAGGATTTCCATCTTTCTTCATAGTAAACCAGATCTTAGATCCTGTTGTTTGTATATCTTTGTATGTCTCTCGGTTTATCTAAATTTTGACTGTGTGTCTGTGACACTGATTCATTCTGCACACTAGAGAGAGAAGCAATGGAACACAGAGAGAAGTTGTGAATGTAACATTACTTCCATTCATTGATGCATTCATTCATTCACCAGATGTTTCAGTGCTCATGATTTGCCAGTACCATGGGTAAGAATAAGGCTTCCTACCAATTGTATTGTGTTTAGAACAGTGCCAGGCATTTTATTTCGATTAACTTGTTTAATCTTCACAAACATCCAATTAGGTACTTTATAGAAGAGGAAACTGAGGCATAGAGAGGTTTATTTGTCTAAGGTCCTACAGAGAGTAAGTGGCACAAGCAGAATTTGAACCCAGACATTCTGCCTCAAAACCACCATTGAACACCAATAAGGCTGGAGAAGAAGGCAGGGACTAGAGCATGCAGTGCTGGGTGCTTCTCAGGACGACATTTGGATTTAATTTTAATGGTAATAGCAAAACATTAAAGGTTTTTCAAAGCAGGAGTTTTCATAAACCTATTTGTGCTTTCCTGCAGTCAGGCAGACTGCAGCATGAAAATGGGTTGGAGAGCCCAGGCAAGAGGCTGGGGCAGTTGTGCCCAGGAGGGTGGGCCAGGATGTTGCCACAGCAGGGAAGAGAAGTGAGTGGATACTAGAGTCAAACTGGAAGGCTATGAGGGTGGAATGGAATGAGACATGAGGAAAAGAGGAAATCACCCATGACCCCTGCATTCATTTCCTATGGCTGCTGTGACAAATTACCACAAACTTCATGGCTTAAAACCACATTACTGTATCATCTCATAGTCCTGGAGGTCAGAAGTCTAAAATGGGTCCACAGGACTGCCTACCACAACCACTGAGCCTGAGCTTTAGTAACTTAGTGGATGAAAATATAACAGAACTATCAAGGAAAATGATGTCAAAAAGAATTGATGGCTCGACTTAGCATTAACTGCATCAGCCTCAATGCTGAATACTTTCTCTATTTCCCCCCCTTTCTGGGTTTTAGGCAGGTAGTTCAATTTCATTTCTTCATTTAATTTTTTATTTTCCTTTTTTTTTTTTTTTTTTTTTTTAACATGGAGTTTCACTCTGTCTCCCAGGCTGGAGTGCAGTGGTGTGATCTCGGATCACTGCAAACTCTGCCTCCCGAGTTTAAGCGTTTCTCCTGCGTCAGCCTCCAGAGTAGCTGGGATTATAGGCACCCACCACCACGCCCCACTAATTTTTGTAGTTTTAGTAGAGACGAGGTTTCATCATGTTGGCCAGGCTGGTCTGGAACTCCTGACCTTAGGTGATCCGCCCACCGCAGCCTCCCAAAGTGCTGGGATTACAGGCATGAGCCACAGGTAGTTCAATTTCAAATGAAAACCCACAGCTGAGTAGAGGTAGACCCATCAAAAAGCAGGGTGAGACCTTTCTGATGGAGTTTGCCACTGCCCACCAGCACTTACTCCAGGACTGTCCCCTCCACATCAGCCTTCCCTAATATATCACTGTTCCCAGTGCACTTATATTTTAAAATAGGACAGAGAAGGAAGAATAATGCTTTCCATAAAATATGAATTAGGCTGGGTGCAGTGGCTCACACCTGCAATCCCAGCACTTTGGGAGGCCAAAGTTGGAGGATCACTTGAGCTAAGGAATTAAGAGACCAGCCCAGGCAACATGGCCAGACCTTGTCTCTACTAAAAATAGATTTTTAAAAAAATCAGCCAGGTCTGGTGGCACAAGTCTGTAGTCCCAGCTCCTTGGGAGGCTAAGGCAGGAGGATCACTACAGACTTGGCGCAAGTCTGTAGTCCCAGCTCCTTGGGAGCCCAGGAGATTGAGGCTGCCGTGAGTCACGATTGTACCACTGCACTCCAGCCTCAGCAACCTAGCAAGATTCCAACTCAAAAATAAATAAAATAGGACAGTGAAGGGAAAATAATGCTTTCCATAAAAATATGAATTAGGCTGGGCACAGTGGCTCACACCTGTAATCCTAGAATTTAAGGAGGCCAAGGCAGGAAGATCATTTGAGCCCAGGAGTTTGAGACTAACCTGGGTAACAGTGTGTCTCTGTCTCTGCAAAAACTTAAATTATAGCACTTTAGGCCTCCTGGGGAAGATATTTGAGGCAATATTTAGACAAGTCAGAAAAAACATAAATATGAGCTATTTTTAATATTCTGCAATTTATTCACACCCCTCCCCACCCTCACTTTTCATTGTAAATGACACTGAGTAATTTGTTTAAAAGAACAAGTTCTGTTTCAAGAATATGTTCTTTCTTTGAAACAACAAAAAGTACCTGTTTGGAGAAAAAGTCATTGCTAGTTTTGTTCTCATAAAAGTTTAATAGAAGGCAACCAAAGTTTAAGATCTCCCAGAGGACAAATAAAGATATTTCCCAGCAAATGTAGAATCACAATTTTCATTGGTGCTGGGGGATTTTACACACAAATGCAATTTTATTTTACATTTAAAAGAGGTAAGTAAATAGACAAATCAATTTTAGCTGCTCTGAAATGTCATACTGGGTCATTAATTTTAAAAGATGGGACTTCAATAATAGTTAAAAGAACAAAGGCCCAAGGGTAAAGACTGAGAATAATCACCTTCAAATTTCTGAATTATCAGCAGCCTCAGATCAGAATCAAGAGGAGCCTAATTCAGCTTCCTTGCGATGTTCTCCTGTATTTTTTACCTTCAAAATATAGGTTCAAATGGAATTCCCTTTTACAAAAACAGAAACCCTCTTTCCTTAAAGCACGAGGACCTCCTCTGTGTGCTGGATACTCGGATGAATTCTGGCAAAACCAAGCTCGATAAAATAAAGACCTATTGTCTAATCTGCATTCAGATAGGAGATATGACACTTGCACCTGGCCATCTCTGTGGTGGAGACAGAGATATCAACATAATATTTGGCATGATACAAAATTTAAATGAGGCCAGGCATGGTGGCTCATGCCTGTAATCTCAGCACTTTGGGAGGCCAACGCGGGTTTATCGCTTGAGCTTAGGAATTCGAGACCAGCCTGGGCAATATGGCGAAA